GCGAGATCCTTCGCCTGCAAACAGGCGTATGGTTCTCCGCACGTCGGTCTCTTGGCCGCCAGAAGGGTTTCCACATGGCTTGAAGGAGGTGTGGGCCCTCCCATCGCGGCGGCACTCTGCAGTTCAGGCCACATTCGCCAAGGCTGCACAGGCGCCGAAGGTAGGGTGAGGAGGAACAGTGATATGCACAGGAGGCGAAGGTGGAGGTGGAAATGGAGGTGCCCTGATGGCCGCAGCTGCTGAGGTGATGGCCATTGGCACGTGGTGAATCCAAACCCCTACTCTCCCCAATATCATATCCCCGCCCATCCCGACTCCACATTAAAATGGGAGGGGGTAGGTTAACAGGACGAGGCGCGAGGACCAGGAAGGTGGTCAAGGTTGGGGGGGAAGGTGGAATCGGGTCCCAAAATTGATATAGGCGGTGCAATTGAAGTAGTCGACGTATCCAAGGTATTGCCGCCATTTGTCAGTGCTCTGCCGCGCGCGAGGAAGATGAGTAGGTAGGTGCGCTCGGTGATGACGGGATCGCACGGTCGGCCGCTGTAAGTAAGGTCAGTCCGACCCTGAGGTTTGGCCTCAAGTGTAGCGGCGTCCAGGTGGGGTAATCCTGGTTCGCGCGGAGAGGGTCGAGTCACGGGAGTCGTGGAGAGAGTCAGATCTTGAGTGGGAGAGGTCGGTTGGAGCGTAGGTCGGAGAGGTTGGAAGGGCATGGTAGGTTGTGCTCTGACGGCGTCGGGCGCGTGGGCACCACGTTCGGCCGTCCAGACCTGTGTGAGTGATGGCGAGGATGGCTATCGCCAGTGGTTTGGGGCGTAATTGCTTGATGGACTCGTTGAGGCTGTGGAGGAACTTGGACGCGGAGTCCTTGGCCGTGGTGATCTCTTTCTGGATGTCGAAGGCCTGGTTGTAGCTGACATGTTGTTCCCCTACCATCGTGATGAGGGTATCGAGCTTCTCCTGGATGTCGTTGCATTGGGAGCGGTACCTGGTGATGATCTATAATGCCAGAGCTTGTTTGGTACTTCGCACGTTACTGGTCTGAATGATTGTGCCCCGTGCCCGTAGGTCGTTATTGCTGTTGCGGTACATGCTGAATATTGTGACCTCGTCGCCCTCGTTAACCGTGAGGGTGCCGTGTGCAATGACGTTTTCCAGTTTGGTGTGGTATGGGCGACGTATGGTTGCTCATGGGGGATGTGATGGTGTCGGGGTTGATCTTCTCGTGTGTGATCGTCGTGATGGGGAACCGTTCGGTTGGCTTCTGTGGCCCGACTTGTATGGCAGGTGGTTGGTTGTCATTTGTTGTTGGGGTGCTGTCGCTGGACGTCGGGACGGAGCTGCTGGATTCGGCAATAGGCATGTATTGGTCGTGCTCCTGCTGTGTGGTCTTGCCCTCGTAGTCGATCATCCCCTCCTCCTCCTCCTCCTCCTCCTCCTCCTCGTTATCCTCCTCCTCCTCGTCCTCCATCATTGTTCGCCGTCTTCCTCCATTCTCCTCATCCTCCTGGTTTTCCTCCTCCTCCTCCGTGTCCTCCTCCTCCTCGAGATCATCCTCCTCGTCCTCCAACCTTCTTCCTTGTAAATAGCTCCTCCCTGTCGCACTCCGGGGCATTTCTGTAAGGCGGGCGGGGCATGTCGCCTGAGACTTCCTCACCATAGTGTCACGGGTGGAAGGCGGGTTGTTTTCAGAACGTGGCTTTTGCGCCGCGCACATTCGCCATAATATATTGCAGCTGTTTCAAGGATGGAGGGCGGGCCGTCTTCAAAATATGGAGCTCGCCTTGGCGCCGTGCGCATCGGGCTACAGAGTCCACAGCAATGTCAGAGATTCGCGGCGTTGAAATCCCATGAGTGGTGTTCTGGTACGATTAAGGATCGTCAAGACGCAGCGGTAACGTGTATTCGCGGTGTTGAAGTCCCAAGAATAATGTTCTGGCGCGGTTCAGGTTTTTCAGACGGCTGTCTTCCAACGGACACTTCCCTGAGAGAAAATGAATCCGTGTAGGGACCTATAAAAATGGTTCATTGCAACATCGTTGACGAGGTTGGGATGTACAGTGGTTTTCCTCCTCCCCCCCCGTCCTCCTCCCACGATCAAAAGCAATCCCAAATCCCAAGAATGGATCTGGGTACGGAAAGGTAGTTCACATCGCTTAATCGGCCCATCGATCCATATCCATATCCATCTCGATCCGCACCACTCCACCGCCCGAATTGGGGATATGCCCCACGACACCTAAACGAAACGGTCTGCATCACATATCTAGGAAGGCAAGTCTGCTGGTGAGGCCCACGTCACGCCCGTGGGATAGACGTCGGTTAAACAATGCTCACGACTTCAGTATACGAAACAGATTGTTATCAAGACTGGCAGCATTTCCTGTTCATTTTGAACAAGACTCGCTGTCGGCGCTGCCGCGGACGTGGCCCATTTGAGGCAGACGGCCGCCTGCCTGGCAGCGGCCGCTGTCGGTGTTGGGCAACATTTGATGTTGGGCATCGTGCCCATATTTTCCGTACCTATTTCGGGCGTTCAAACTCGTCCGGCCCCCTCCCCCCTTTGCCATGAAACGCCCTGCACCTGTTCTCTTGCCTAGCGGAGCAGAGCGCTCGCGCGCCTTCCCACGGCCTCAACGCGGCTCCAGAGAGCGCACGGTGCCGCTGCGAACCCCATTTCGAAGTAAGCGGCAAGCACCTGTCCCTCCCCCCCCGCCCCTAGACCGATCGGGGCGGCCCCATGCCCACAGAGCAGAACCCCGTCCATCGTCTGACGGGGGGGGCGCAGGTTATCGAGATTTGGGCTTACCTTTTTTCCCGTTAACTCTCATGGGCCGTTTTCTTTGGAAAAGGCGAATGAGGATAAATTGATCGCGAGCGTAGCGGAAGTGCCGAACGCCGTCAGAAAGTCGCAACGCGCAAGCTACGGCCTGAATTGCGCAGGAGGGAGAGAGAAAAAAAGAGAAAGAGAGAGACAGAGAGAGAGAGAGCCGACGAGAGAACAGCGGGGAGGAGACAACAAGAGGCTGGCCTCGCTGCCGTTCAGATAGGCGCCCTTCGACTGGGGGAGTGAACCGTCAGCCAGTTGCAGACTAGTGAGGGTGCTTTTGTTTACCAACAGTTAGCGGACAGCCGCGCGGCGTCGACAGTCAAATGAAGCCAGGCCGACGTGCAGGGCGAAAGCCTAAAACAACAGCTGGCAAGCGTAGAAGAGGACAAGACCGGAGGAAAAAGAGCGCGAAGCGTGTGGAATTCTAAGTCGGGCCGTGGCGACGAGGCCTGAGACCCCCAAGAAAGCCCCACACATCCATAGACCCACATCATCGATCCTCCCCCCCCTCCTGCCCCTCCCATGCCCCCCCCCCTGGCTGTGGCGCCAGCGCGCGCCGCCAGACCCCTCTGCGATAGCAGACTGCTGGGTGCTCTCATGCCCCGGGCAGTGGGCCGAAAATGGCCCGAGAATGCCCCGGGAGCCGCCGAGGCAACGCCCAAACCTCGGGCCTCTCGCCCACCGCTCACGGGAACGGTTTTGCGCCCTGGGTCGTCTTCTGACGGTCTCGGGTCCGGGAGGCGGCCCCCGGAGGCGAAAGTCGAGAACCGGTTCCCGCGCGCGCTTCTCCTCGACGCGCTGCGTCCTGGGCCTCAGCGTCGACCTTGACAATGTCAACCTTTTGGCATGTCCTGGGAGGCGTCCTGACCAGGACTTCGAGGCGAATCCAGCCGTGGCGACGAGGAGGGCCCCGAAGGCCCAGAAGAAAAGAAGATTAAGACGACGAACAAGAAGAAGAGCGGGGCTCCAGACAACGCGGTGACCACCTCTTCCGTGGTCATGCGGTGAATCAGATGTGATCCGGGGTGAGCGGACCGCTTTGGGACTTGGACAGTTCTCCGAAAGCGTTCCCAATGCCTGGGGCCTCCGAAATTCGAGGATGGACATAATCCCCCGCAGTAAAACGTGGTTTAGTGAAAACGACCTCGGGCCCGCACCTGGTGGGCGCGAGCCTGGACAAATGACGGAGAACCGAAAACGGACAATTCACCAATCGACGTGTCAAGGTGGGGGTTTTGTCCAGCCCCGAGAAAGCCTCTGGCCGTCCAGCGACGGACTGGGGCTCTCGACGTCATCGGGCCCCCCGTCAAGGCCCAGAGTCGGGACCCCTGGGGAGGAGCGGGAGAGAAGGAGCAAACGACTGCACAGTCACAAACTTCCAGAGGTCCGCGCGGATCTGTTGGGTCGGCGCTCTCCACTCCCCCTTTCTTCCGGGGGGGGCGACTGGAGGGCAGGACAGGAAAGGGCAGGGCAGATAATCAGCTTAAATGGCTGGTTCTCCTGGCGCTTCCTGGCGCCGGGAGGCGCCCATGCATCGAGGAATGGGCACGGCGGGGACCTGTTGGGTCGCCGCCTCCCCCTTGCTTCCTGGGGGGACGAAAAGGCAGGATAGGAAAGAGCAGGGCAGAGAATCAGCTCAAATACAGAGACGGCCAGTCCACAAGACACCTTCGATAAGAAACCCGAGCCTGAGACTCCAGGGCGTCCGTTGAGTTTTGGTGTGGGAACGTCACGCCTTTAACCGCAAAACCATCGAAACCTGATAAACCCAGGGCATCCTGGAGGCAAGCAGGGTGATTCTTGGCATGGGCCTCCACTGTAGCTAGCTCTCCTGGCGCTTCCTGGCGTCGGGAGGCGCCCATGCATCGAGGGGAAGGGACCCGGCGGCGGGGCCGAGACCGGCTGCAAGCAGCAGATGTCGCACCTTCCTTCCAAAAGATCCCCGACGTCATTGTTGTTATTCTTCTTTCATAACGTCGACCCCCAGAGTTATGTTGCTCTCATCGCACATGAGTCCCCAAAATAATTTCGAGCACGCAGAAACAAGTATCGAAACAGTGTCGAACGAATATCGCCTCCCCGAGCCCGACACGTGAAAGCCCTTCAGATTCGATACGTACTTGGTGTTCGAAATGCGTACTGGTGGTTCAAGCTATAGTAGGTTGGAACATCACATTTCATAACGTGGACCCCCACAGGTCTCGACCCATTCCCCTGGACTGGTTTTTCAGCCTGAAGCATTTTCTGACGGTCCCGAGGACTAGGTTGGGGCCCCCGGAGGCCGAACATGGCGAAAAACCTCCCGTCATGAATTTGGCACTGCCCGGAGGGGTCTGGGTCTTCCCCTATCCCCCCGTCCAGACTGGTCCGACTCTTCCCTGGCGCACGGAACGTACCAGGGACACGGCACCCTGGGCGCCCCCCCAGCGGGGGCCAGCGCCGACCCGAAACAGAAAGAAGAAAGGTGCTGGCGTGCTGTAGGCCAACCCCGCGCTCTGCGAGGCAGGGCGGCGGAGGCCCGCCAGAAGCGTTTTTGATCGTATTCGGTGCTCTCGTCGCTCGCGCAGTCGGGGGGGTTCACGAACGCTCTCAGGCCGCATGTGCCCACGTCGGTTCCGCGGGGGAAAGACACACCCTCGCACAGCGGGTCGTCCTCCAGCTGGGAGGGGGGGGGGCGCCGAGGGGAGGAGATTCCTCCTCCTCGCCCTCCCTCCTCGCCCCCCTCCTGAAAGTATGATCGGATCCTTTCCCTGCAGGCAAATAGAACTTGAGCCAAACACCAATGGCATTCGACAAACATGTAAAACAGTCCGGAACGCATGGGGCAAACCAGGCTGCATTCCTCTAGGCGCGGGACGGTTTCTACACACCCCCTCGGTCACGACTGGTCGCAATAAGCGCAAGAGGTGCACACGTGGCAACGATACTACGGAACGCAAGGCAACGTACGAATATAAACATATCTAATGGGCCTCGATTCTCAACGGGTAGTACACGTTTCGTAGAACCGCGCGTCTTGCTGGCAGCAACCTGGCCGCCAAAAGGGTTATGGGCCAATATCCTTGAACCAAGCCATAAAAATTCCTGGTGATGGGATGGGTGGGCCGAAGCAGCAGAGTTGAGAGAGGACGGTTGCACATGAAACCCTGTTTGAACCACGTCGATACTCACGAGTCCGCAAACAAATAGCTATGTGCACGCACCACTCTATCTAGGGGGCCATATTTTCAGCGGGTAAGATATGTCTCGTCAGAACCGCGCGCATCCTGGCGGCAGCGACCCGGCCGCGAATGTGGTTATGGGCCAGCATCCCTGGACCGAGCCGTACAAAGTCCCGGAAACGCCTGAAACAATGAATTTCTCGAATTCGCAAGGATTGATCGGGGCAGGCGGGGCCGAGGGATGGAGGGTCGCGAGAGCAAGGTCAGCATAATTGATTTGTGCATTCCGTAATGTAGCAGAGTGCGAGCAAGCATCCTGCACAGTTGCTGTAGGTATGGTTTGGCGCCCCGCGTCATCGTTGACACTTGTAGCTGGTGGTGCCGAAAGCCTGTAGCGCTGCAGAGACCATGAGAGGCAGCTGGTCTGGCTTTGGAATCCCCCCGCCGAGCCGGCAAATCTCACTCAAAACTGTACTAAACCCCTCCCAGGCCGTCACGGTCTGTACTTCTGGCACCAGCCCCATCTTAGACAAATTCAGGCTCTCGAGAATGCATATTACCTTCCTAACATGTATCTGGTAAGATTGAGGCAGGACGTGGGACACGCATTCCATGCCAGCAGTTCGTCAGCGTCTCGCATGCTTCACCAGGGCACTCCCCAGGGAAAGGCAGGAGTGCGGATGGCGGCAGCGCGGACTTTGGCGACCAAAGACCTGCCTGCACTGACATCCTGGCGGATACAACGGAGCACAGGCTGGCCGGCGAGGTCGCCTGCGGGCCCTCTCGGACCTCCCAGGTCCGCGCGGGGACACCTAGGCGCTGGCAGGCGCGCGCGACCCCGCCCTCGCCCGAAAAGAAATCGCCGAGGCACTGGCCGCTCAGAGGCGCCCCGTGCCGCCAACTGCGCGGCATGCGCCCCGCAATAGCACCTCCTCGACGCGCGCGTCGAGCGCCTCGCACCGGTTCTGGGTCGCCAACGGCAGGTCGTGCCACGCAGGTCGGGCCGAAAACCGCGCGTGACCAGGGGTGCGTTCGTCGCGCGGGTCACGCCACGGCAGGGGTGGGCCTGTGGCGCCACAACATGCCCGTAAGCACCGCAATGCGCCTGCGAAAAACACTCGCCTGCGACCCGACAGTCACGACGTGCCCGTGACCAGCGCCGCGGAAGCTTGAGATCCGATCGACGCGATGTGCCTGTCAACAAGACAATGCTTTTGAAGAGCACAACGTCCGTGAACACCACGGCGCTTGTGAACATCAAAGCGCCTGTGAACACGACGCCTACAAACACCACATCGCCTGTGGATGCCACATCGCCTGTGCACACTGCACAGCTGAAGAAACCCACAACGCTTGAAAAACACAACAACGCCTGTGAACACAGCGCGCGCGAGCACCGGCACTGCGCAATTGACTAGCAGTAGTAGTAGCAGTAGCACAAGTCGTAGTAGAAGTAGCAGCAAAAGTAAGAACAGTAGTAGTAGTAGTAGTAGTAGTAGTAGTAGTAGTAGTAGTAGTAGTAGTGGTAGTAGTAGTACTTGTAGTGGTAGCAGTAGTCGTAGTAGTGGTAGTAACAGTAGAAGTAATACAAATCGTGATAATGATAATAAGCAGTAGCAGTAGCAGCAGCAGCGGCAGCAGCGGTAGCAGTAGTAGTAGTAGCGGTAGTAGCAGTAGCAGCAGCAGCAGCAGCAGTAGTAGTAGTAGTAGTACTGGTAGTAGCATGTGTATTGGTAGTAGTAGTAACAGCAGTAGTAGTAGCAATAGTATTGGTAGAACGTGTATTGGTACTAATACTAGAAGCAGCAGCAGCAGCAGCAGCAGCAGCAGCAGCAGCAGTAGTAGCAGTAGCAGTAGCAGTAGCAGTAGTAGTAGTAGTAGTAGTAGTAGTAGTAGTAGTAGTAGGAATAGTAGTAGTAGTAGTAGTAGTAGTAGTAGTAGTAGTAGTAGTAGTAGTAGTAGTAGTAGTAGTGATCGTAGTAGTGATAATTATGGTAGTAATACTGGTAGTAGTAGTAGTAATAATAATTGTAGTGGTAGCGGTAGTAGTGGTAGTAGTGGTGGTGGTGGTAGTAGTGGTAGCACTAGAGGTAACACTAGGGATAGCAATGGTAATGGTAGAAGAAATAATTGAAGTAGCAGTAGTAGTAAAACTGATACTAGTAGTAGTAGTAGTAGTAGTAGTAGTAGTAGTAGTAGTAGTAGTAGTGGTAGTAATAGAAGTGGTAGTAGAAGAAGAGGAAGTAGTAGTAGTCGTAGTAGTAGCAGTGGTAGTGGTGACATGCTTCGTAGTAGCGGTCGTAGTGGTGAGATTAGTACTGGTAGTGATAGTAGCAGTGTAAGCGGTAAAAAAAAAGAGTTGTGGTAGAAGTAGTGGTACGAATAGCAGTAGTGGTAGAAATACTCGTTCTAATCGCGTAAAAGTAGCGCTACGACGATCAGTCGAAATAGCAGTAGTAGCAACAATAGTAGCAATATTCGTAGTCGTAGTAGTAGTAGTAGTAGTAGTAGTAGTGGTAGTCGTAGTAGTAGTCGTAGTAGTCGTAGTAGTTGTGTTAGTAATACAAGTTGCCGTAGTTGCTGTAATAGTCGTGATAGCAGTAGTAGTAGTAGTAGTAGTAGTAGTAGTAGTAGTAGTAGTGGTAGTAGTAGTAGTAGGGGTAGTAGGAGTAGTAGTAGTAGTTACACTAGTAGAAGTAGTAGTAGTACTAGTAGTAGTAGTAGTCGTAGTAGTAGTAATAGCAGTAGTAGTAGTAGTAGTAGTAGTAGTAGTAGTAGTAGTATAAGTAGTAGTACTAGTAGTAGTAGTAGTAGTAGTAGTAGTAGTAGTAGTAGTAGTATAAGTAGCAGTAGTAGTAGTAGTAGTAGTAGTAGTAGTAGTGGTAATAGCACTGGTCGTCGTACTACTAGCGATAATGGTGGTAGTGGTCGTAGGGGTACTAGTGGTTGTGGTGGTTGCCATGATCACCAAACTAAAAATACTAATGATAAAAGCAATCGTAATACAAATACTAATGATGGTATACAATAATACGAATGGTAATCATGATATTAGCAGTAGTAGCAGTAGTGGTAGTAGTGGTGGTAGTCGTGGGGCTAATAGTAGCAGCAGTAGTAGTAGCACTAGTAGTACTACTCCTGGTGGTAAACATGATATTATTCACAATAATGGCAATATTGGTAGAATAAGAAATATTTGAAATGTTCGTAGTCGTAGGCGTAGGCGTAGTAGTAGTGATAGTGGTAGTAGAAGCCATAGGGGTAGTAGTCGTACTAGTACTACTACTAGCACGAGTAGTACAAGAAGTAAGAATAATAATAAATGCAATACTGGTCGTAGTAATAGTGGTATTAATAGTTGTAATACTGGTAGTAGTAGTACTACTAAAGGTACTCGTACGAGTACAAGCGTTAGCAGCAGCAATACCTAGAAATAGCAGTAATACGAATTGTGATGGTAGTGCTTGTAGAAATCGCAGTGGTACTACTAGACATAATGGTTGCAATAGAAGTAGTAATGGAAGTAGAAATCGTAGTAGCCGTAGTAACAGTAGTAGCACTAATAGTAATAGTACGGCTGGTCGTAGTAACAGTGGCAGTAATTGCCGCAATAGTGGTACTAGTGGTGCAAGTACGAGTACGAGTACTAGTAGCAGTCGTGCAAATGATCGCAGTACCCGTACAAATTGTAGGGGTAGTAGTAGCCGTGCTAGTGGTAGTTTCAGTACCACTAGTGGTACTAGTACGAGTACGAGTACGAGTAGTAAAAATACAAATTGTGGTGATAAGACTGGTCGTAGTAGTCGTAATATTAGTCGTAATAGTAGTAGTAGTAGTAGTAGTAGTAGTAGTAGTAGTAGTAGCAGTAGTAGTAGTAGTAGTAGTAGCAGTAATAGTAGCGGTAGTAGTAGTGGTAGTAGTAGTAATACTAGTAATAATAACGGTAATGGGCGCAGTAATAATAGTAGTGCGAATAGTCATGATAGCGGAAATAGTAGTAGTAGTAGTAGTAGTAGTAGTAGTAGTAGTAGTATTAGTAGTAGTAATAGTAGTAGTAGTAGTAGTCGTAGTAGTAGTGGTAGTAGTAGTACTAATGGTAGTGGCAGTAGTAGTAGCAGTAGTAGTCGTCGCATTGGTAGTGACAGAAATATTGATAGCTATAGTAGTGGTAGTAGTAGTCGTAATGGAGGTAGTAGTGCTACTAATCGTGGTCCTAGTACAACTACGAGTACTAGTAGCACTGGAAGTAATAGTAAAGATAATGCTCGTAGTAATTGTAGCAGTAGTAGGAAATAATTAGCAGTACTAGTACTAGCACTAGGACTGGCACTAGTAGTAATAGTAGTAGTCGTAGTAGTAGTCGTAGTAATAGAGGTAATCGTAGTAGTCGTAGTCGTAGCGGTCGTAATAGTATTATTAGTAGCGCGAAAAGGGCCAGTAGTAGTGGTAGTAATAGTGGTATTAATACAAATAAGAACAGTAGTAATCGTAA